ACTAATAAACAATGTTAGTTACATATTAGGTACTTAGTATATTAAGATTATGAAATTTTTAATAATTTTACATCTGTAATATTAGTAAAGTGTTATGCTGTGGAGTTTTCTCCCACTACATCTCATTTATCTTTATGGTTACTATCTGCACTGTTAGAATGTTTAAAGACAAACTTTCTTCTCATGACCATGCAAAGTGCTTCAAGTCAGTACAGCTAAGGTTAATGATACTCTATAAAATGATACCAGGAAGGAATTTGTCTGAAGTAAGCCAATAATTCCCTATTGTTTGGCAAGTCTGAATTTATTTTCAGTAACTGGTGGTTTCTATAAGAAAACAGTGATAATTATATTTGTCTCCCAAGTATTTTCTCAGGAAACACAAACAGCTTTTCTTGGTTTGTTTTAAGAACAAGCATATTACCATTTTAAATATTTTCTTATTGACTCTGAAGATGAAACAGGTTAGTAATGGAATGAGAATTGATAAAGAAAGGGTAAATTTTTAGGGTATTTGCAAAAGAGAAAATAAAGGCAGAGTTTGCACAAACTTTACAGATTCTGTAGAAATGTTAATCAGAGTGTGCATATCCAAATAGAAAAAACAGAGCCCTGTGTTTCTCCAGCACTGTGTTTCACCAACTACAAATTTATGTTATTACAATGAGAAAGAATGATAAGATCCCGGGGATTGTTGAATGTTCTTATGCATCCAGCCACACAAAGAAGTTTAGGAAATGGATCAACAGCTTTTATAATCTTATATATTCTTTATTCTGTATATTATTTTATATTTTTATATTTTAGATAGGTGGACAAATATAAAAGAATTGATAGTAAATATAAATACAGAGACACCACAAAACCAGTAGCAGTAGAGGGAGAGAGGAAACAGTCTCAAGTTCCTCCAGGGGAGGTTTAGATTGAATATTAGGGAAAATTTCTTGTCTGAAAGGTTTGTCAGCCAATGGAACTGGCTACTCAGGAAAGTGGTGGAGTCAACATTCCTGGAACAGTTCAAAAGGTACATGAATGTGGCACCTGGGGATATGGTTTAGTGAGGAAACACAGTTGTGCTGGATTAATGGTAGAAATTGATGATATTAAAGGACTTTTTCAGCCTTAATGATTCTAAGGTTCTAGGTCTGAAAATCCTCAAGTTGTGCTGAGCATAACACAGCTATTGAGAGACTGGCATTCCACAGGTCTGAAAGCAATTAGGAATGATGAATCCAAACAGCTTGCTCAAGCCTGGAACAACAGGACCCAATCCTCAACTACTTTAAATTGAAGTATCTCCCATGAGTTTAGTGGAACTATTTAGATCCTATCACAAGAACATTAACAGCAATAAAATGTGATTGTTCAAGTAAATATACTTCAACATCCTTCCAGGAGCATTCATATATATGAGATTTAAGGAAAGAATTGTTTTTACTGAGAGATGAAGAATGTTGAAGAACCTGGCTGCGTATTGTCTACTCATACTCAATATTTAATGGCACCATCCTTAATATTTACCATATGCAAGCATGTATTCTTCTTTATCAGTGCTTCTCAATTCTATGGAAATAAAAATTATGACCTGCACCCATAAGACAATTTTTAATTCATCTTGTAACCACAAGTACTTTGAACCACTGTACTTTTGTACAGTACTTGAAAGTGGAGGACAGTTAATGTATCCTCAGCCTTCTGTTCGAAATCTGTGCTTTTTAAAAGAAAAACTGTCTTCACAGGGGCTTGATTTAAAAACTAAGAATTGCTTGAAAGATATCCCAAAATAGAAGATGCAGTCTTCACAACAGGAAATGTAAAATATAGTTAAGCAATACACAGCTTTCTGTGTTTCTTGCCAAGTTGTGACAGATATACTGATCAATTGCTGAGAGGTAGAAGCAATGCCAAAATCTGGATAGCATATCCCAGAGAGAGTAGAACTACTTATTCTTTGATGGGCTCTTGAAACTGCGCTTTATCTCCAGTTTATATCGTTGTGTGACACTCTCAACCAAATAGTTTTACAATGTCTTGCTGAACTTCAGCGTTAGTTGTCTAGAAATATGAAGTTGTAGATTGTGACAGGTTTTATTTCCATGGGGCCTGCAGTAATTGTAATTTTACTGGCTTTGTCACCAATTTGCCAACATAAGAAAAGATGTGTACATAACTAACATGTCCACTAACAGGTACACTTGAGTCCTAGTTTGGGGAAAGTTTGGACATTTAACTGCTTTTATCTTCAGTGTTTTCTAAAATGTTTTACTCTACTTAAACAGAGTAGCCTGAAAGGATTTAATATGAATATTAGTGAAGAAAGGGTTTTTAAATATTGACACAGACATTTCTACCAATATTTGAAACTTGAAAACAAGTGACATTTGTTTGGAGCAATGGCTAACAATCCATATTAGGGAAAATGTAATCAACCCTGACAGATACGCTTCAAATAGACTACTATGTTTTTAAAAAATCCTTCTTTTGATCATTTGAACCAGAATGGTAATGATCAAAAATCCCAAAACAGTAAATAGAACAAACAGTTCTAAAAATAGGCAATCTCTCTGAGTGTTATCATCTACTAATTTGGGAAGTCACGGCATTCTTTTAATCCATCATTTAGCATATTATTTTGGTGTTTGGGCCTGCCTCAGCAGCAACCTCAATTTGAGAGTTTATCTTCTGTGGAAAGGTTAGAATCTTTATAAAAAAAACACAAAAGAGCCTTAACTTTCTTTTTACCTTTTAATTGCTTAATGATAATCTTCATTAATACATCACTGAGAACAAGAATGTCTATAAATACACGCAAAACTAAGGGCTTCTTTAAAAATTATTTTAATATTTCTGTCTAAATTATTAAGTCCTTGACAATTAGAATATAATATTCCAGATTGCAGAAATGTAATTAGCAAATTCCAAATGAATTTTGTATTTAGAAGGGTGTTTATTTGGTGCGGTTTTTATTAAAAAACCCCAACATTATTTCTCATAGTGATACACACAGATATGTTTCCTTCTCCTAGTGATTTGGATGACGATTTTTTCAAGCAGTTCCAGTTGTATCCTATTCATAAAGTCTTGGCAGTGAAGAATTGTGCATATGGACATAGTTTTAATATATTCAAATTAATTTCATTTTTCTGAAATGGTCACTTATAAATTTATTTCAACTTGGAAATCGTAGAGTCTTTTTTAGACTTCTTCATGCAGCACACTTATACTGCAATTCAATGCACTAGGATCTATCAAGAATATAGGAAACATGGTCTGTTCCTGAACAGGCTAGTACATGAAATCCATGTTTCTCCCATGCCTGATCCCCAGCCATTCTATTATACCGGTTTCTGTGTGCCTGATGGATGCTTCTCTTTCCCTCCACTTGCTCCCTCTTGTGTTTTATAATGATTTCATGAAATCCAAAGCATCTTCATAAAATGTCTTGGCAAGAATAAAGTAATATACCTGATACTTATGAAATGTAAAAGTATGGAAATCATTAAATCAGATAATTCCACAAAAGCAAACATTGCAAGTTTGAAAATAGTTTTTAAAATAGAGCTGTTAGTCTCTGTCTTGCAGTACTTTTGGCAGTTCCAGGTGTATTTAAACAAAATAGGGTTGGGTTTTTTCCTATTCTTCAGTTTTTAAGGGAAATATATCAGGTTTAAATATGCTCTTTAAGAAAAAAGGAAGATGTTAGTGAAAGCTTTTGTGTTTTTCTGTAAGGAATATGGCAACTTCTATTTCTTAAGACAAATAAGAGTAAGACCTCATGTGTTCTTTTTTTTGTTTTTCTCCTTATTTAACACATTCCCTTTTCAGCAGGATTGCTTTTTAAGCATGAAAACAGATTAGTTCTGTCCACAAATCCTGATGATACTGTTTCACAGAAGTTACTTGAATTTTGCATTCAGTAAACCATAGCTATATTATGCTAATAATTTCCTATAAACCCACTGTGAGATTTGGATAAATTCTCATTGCTTTATGTAGGGATTTGTCTGAGCAAGAACTAAATTATGGAAGAGCCTACCAGCATGTGTAGTTCAAAGTTTAGAAAAGACCATCGGATCTTCAGACAAATAAAGAGTGTCTCAAAATATCTACATCTGCATTATATTAATGTCTGTGTACTGCTACAACAGAAATTGTTTGACTACTTTGCATTCTTCTTAGTTTTTAAATTGTTTTGGTAGTTCACTTTATATAGGATCATGGAAATAACATATTATTAGTTTCTTTTTCCACAATATGTCATGGAGTGTATTCAGCTTACACTAGTATGACAAAAATGTTTTATGTTTTGCATAAATAATATTATATATGTCTGCTTTTTTCTACATTGATCTTACATAGAAATAAAATATAATAATAATAATAGAACATTATAATTCTTCAATTAACATTACCTAAATGAAATTTGGAGATTTTTGAATATCTGATTTATATAGCGTAGCTTTGAGACATATGGTTTTCTGAGTTACAGATGTGTTAAGGAAAGGACCACCTTTGTGTTTAACTTAAGCTTAGAAATAGCAAGGAGATAAATTCTATCATTTTAGCATTGTCATTCTGACCACAGTGGAAGTGGTATTAACTGGTCTTATTAATGAATTTCTTTGTTTCTCATTAGTACTCCATTCCTCTACTAATTTTTTCCCTTCCGTTTATTGTTCAAGATCAAATAGAATTACCAAGATTTCAGACTTAAATGTTCTGATTTCACATGTTCTTTCTATTTTACCATTGTAAAGTTTTATTAAAGCAGCTTTTGTATAAGTATTCAAACTCTGGTTATTCCCCTCCTTTCTGCAGATGTGATAGCAAGGAAAGATATTCAGGGGACAGTCTGCCCTCAGTTTTCTCAGACAGGAAATGCACAGACAATGTCTGTGAGGGTCTTTTTTTCAGCTATTCATCAAGCACTAGAATATTTGAAATAAGTTTTCTTTTTGAAACTGTTTCACATAACAGATCATGTTCTAATAATCTCATACCTTTTAAATATGTCCCCACTTATAAATTTTTCAATCTCTCTTATTCCTTGTGACTGGCTTCTGCAATAAAAGAGAGAACACCTTATTTAATTAAAAGGCTTATGATGGAATATTAAGTGAAGTTTAGCTAAAGAAAAATAATTCTTAAAAAAATAATTAAAATTCTGTCTTGAAATGTTTGTTTACTTTTTTGGAACAGTGTGTTACAAATTTTCATCACTTTTTTTTTGCATTATAAAGCCAAACAGTTTTAGTAAATTTTAACTGCAAGGAAACTAAAGGCTTTTTGTTTTATTTTTATTCCCATAAGCATAAATTTTTAAATTGTGCAATTTGTGCAATTGCATAATTGCAAATAAAATGTGCCCCTTCACAGCTTGTAACTTATTCAGTAAATTCCAAACTGAAATCTTGCAGGGGAAATAGTATAAATCACACTTCACAGTGGAGTTAAAGTTATGGATTCAGAACTGAGAGTAGCCAAATGTAGTTAAAAATAATCCTGAAAAGTTATTTACCTCTGGGGCTGTGCTTCTGGCTGTTCTGAGTTTACCAGCACATGTGCTGTTTCCTTTTATGGGCTTCAAAGACCTCCGCCTTTGAAGATGCAGAGGTTAGGCTGGGAAGTCATTCCACTTAAGGCTGTCTACCTCCGCTATCCATGGACATGAAAGCTACTGGGAAAAATTTCAAACCCACTTCCATTTGGGCCTGCATAACTTTGTAACTAACTTTTAAAGCTAATACTGTAATTTTAAGGCTGAAAACTGCATATATAAAATTACATTTGTGACAACGAAGACCACATTCAGCAAATTTAGCAGATTTTAGCACAAAGTTCCACATGCTCAGGAACTAAAGCTTGACAAATTAGCTCCAGATATGGCCACATTAGTGGGAGCTGGAGACAGCCCTACAGGGCTGGCTTTGCTTTGACTTAAGAAATGTCCTTGAAAAGATTCAATTGAGCTAATGAAGGCATTATATAAACAGTTAAAAGCAGTCGTTGGAGGCTGGTAGAAACTCATGTATCAGCAGTTAGTAATTAAGAAGATCTTCTATCTCCTCTCAGAGTAAATATCCTGTCCTAGTTGCAGCAGGCCTGCTGAATGCAGACTTTCTGGTCAGTAAATGTCCAGACGTTGTTTTCTGTATGAAAGCATCTGTAATGTGTTACCTCTGTAGCTCCCTCTCCAAGCCAGACAAAGGCCAAAGTTTCCAATGAATAACCTGATCAATAACCATAAAATCATTTACTCAGACCAATAATTAATAAAGAGGGTTTACACCAGCCAAAGGGGTTGTCAGACAGCAAGTGATGTATGACTGACCCACCTGGTTAGATGAATAAACTTAGCAACAGCACTACTTTCTGTCTTAAGTGTAAAAAAAATTTTAAATTCTGCATGTTGATGACTACTATGAGTCACACTGACTTAAATAAAATAAATACTAAGTTATTTCACCTAAATATGAAAGCAGCGGCCAAAGATGGGGGTTTGCATGTGTTTATTAGTAGAATTTGTTATGTGAATAGCTAATATTTATTACTAATAAATACACTAATTAAAGCCATACTAGTAATTTCCATTAGCTTACCCTCAAATTTCCATGGAGCTGTCCGTCTGGTTTTAATCAAAACCAAATGGTAATCCAAGTTCTCAGGCTGGAACAGCTAAGAGGAAGTCGTTCAGAGAAGGCAGAAGAAAGCAAAAAAGATAAACAGACGATATTCACTAAATTTGTATAGAGCAAAGGATGTAGATGCTGTGGGTTACTCTGAAGACATGATTCAGGCACCCTGTCAAGCTGGAACGAAGTAGTTACAAGTGTTTTATGTCAGCAAAATACTAATATGATCAAGATGGAGTCTGTCCTTTTGCTTTTGCAGAGCTGGATTTGTGTGACTCTGGAGGATTCTCAAAAGAGGTAAAGCAACATATTCCACTGCCTGCAACATGACTCTTTAAACTGTAACATTCATTTTTTGAGATACAGCTTATTCTCTTGAGTAGGAACGCAATTTTAGCATTTGTCTTTAAATGGAATCTGCCTGACTGTGTATATTTGACAGAATAGTACTAGACCTTTTGTCACAGTGATATGTTAAGTTTAGACCGTGTTTCTCACTACCTGATGTCAAAGGCCAGGTTTCAGAAATGTCCTTGTGTTGTTCTGGATAGCTGTTACCTCTGCATGAGCATTAGAGAAGCATAAAGTATTTTTTTTTAAAGGAAAAAGTCCAGGAGGGAGAGGTTTAAGTACATTTTTACATTATGTAGCTGGAGCAGAGATTTTTTTTCTTTGGCAGGAATAGCCCTGCAGTGTATAAAGCTGACTGCTTTGAAACACTCGGTCTTGACGTTTTCTTTTCCCTCCATTTCTGCGCTCTCTCGCTGGCGCAGGCAGGCAGCCTCGCTGTCTCTCTCCCTCTCTCTCTCAAAGGCAGGAAATACTTTTCAGGCAATCTGGGCCTGGTTGTTGAGGCCCCCTTTCACAAAACATCAGTCTGAATTTAGTAGACAGAAGTCACTGGGAAAAGCTTGACAGGCTCGTGCTTAGCTAAGGCTCCCTCCAGCTGCAGAGGGTGTTTTTGTTAGAATCACACATTGAGCAAAACTGCTTAGAATAGAGCAATGATCTCAGTAGCGAAATCCGAACTTTTATGCTAGCAGAGCTAGCTGGGACTGTGCTCTTTTGTTTGTTTGTTTGCTTCTTCGTTTTGTTGTTTGGACTTTTTTTCTTCTTCTAATGGCTAAAGATTTTAGGGAGGTCATGTCTGAATTCCTGATTCTCTTCATCTAGGTAAGGCTGTCTTGGAATCTCTCCGTACTTTCAACTACTAAAATAAAAAAAAAAAAAAAAAAAAAAAAAAAAAAAAAAAAAAAAAAAAAAACCACCAAAGGAAAAAGAAAAGAAAAAAAAAATAGAAGGTAAGAAAAACCTCAGGAAAGAAAAAAGCAGTATCCAGCACTGGAGTGTTCTGCGTTCAGGATCTCAGCACTAGAAATAGAGGTAAAATATTTATAATCTTTAAAAATATACATTTAGTTGTAAACTGTGACAACTCTGTTTTTCAGAATATGCCAGACCTATAAAAAAATTACTGTGCATTTTTCCTCATCTTTTAAAAATATGCTTGAAATGTTGAACTTTATTTGCGTTCTTATATAAATAGAGCTGTATGGTATTGCTTGCATATTTTTTAATGTACATTAAATTGGAAAGTTCAGTGTGAGTGATTCGGTTTTTTCACCTCATTTAACAACAGGGAGGGCATTTAGGGCTATGTTTTTTTGGTTTTTTTTCTCTCCCACCTCCCCTTCTCTCCACTCCAGAGGTAATGATGACGAGGAGTGTTTTAGGTAGATATATCGGTTATACCTTACTGGGCTAGGTCTCTAGCCTTTTCTCAGTCCTAGATGAAATTTTTAATAGAAGTGACATTACAGTCTTAAAGGTGTATACTCTAAATCTGAAAATCCAAGGTTTATTTGTTGGCTTTAGCTAAATTAGGTTATTTTTAGTAATGCATTATTAGATATGGAGATTGTGTGTTGTGCTAGCATTTAGAAGAGGTAAAGTAAGATATAGTAAATGTCACCTGACTATAATTTTTGGGAGGATGTATGGATTTACTCTTTTTTTCTTCTTAACCTAGTAAACATGTAACTAATAAAAATAACAACAATCTGCTGTTAAGGAATTTAGGGAGAAAATCAGGATAGTATCTTTCACTGATATGTGAATGCATTTATATTTTATGTAAAATTGTGATTTAATTATTCATTTGTTATGGATATGAGAAGCATTTTTATGTCAATCTATATAGTAGTCTTTGTCTTCCTGAAAAATGTTGCTAAAAAGTAATCTGAAAATTTCTTTCTTTCTTTCTTTTTCTTTCTCTTTCTTTCTTTCTTTCTTTCTTTCTTTCTTTCTTTCTTTCTTTCTTTCTTTCTTTCTTTCTTTCCTTTCTTTCTTTCTTTCTTTCCCTCTCTTTTCTGTCTTTCTTTTCTCTCTTTCTCTTGTTCTCTCCTTCTTTCCTTCCTTCTTTCCTTCCTTCCTTCCTTCTTTCCTTCTTTCCTTTTTCCTTCTTTCCTTCTTTCCTTCTTTCCTTCTTTCCTTCTTTCTTTCTGTCATTAAGACTCCATGTAGTTCTTGGCCAGATTGGTAACTAAAGTGAAGTCGTCTGTTCATGTATTTCAAGAATCTTTTAACTTTGCTTTTACTATTTTTCAAAATGGTTGTGAAAGGAGATGACTTTGTGGTGTGAAAGAACATGAAGGCTATTCCAGAATGGAGTTAAATATCTCCAGTATCTCCTCTGCAATAGACTGAGAATTGTACACTTTACTGACATATGGAGGAAGAAAATTGTCCAGGGTGGTCAGAATTGGCTCTGAGTTGTGAAGGGAATGCATCTAAACTGGACAGAGAACAACCAATAGGCAGTAAATTGTTCCTGAGTATATTCTGGGGTGAATTTTAACATCACAATCACTTATTTGGTTATGGACAAGTCTTCTCCAGTGAGATGTTGTGGTCTGGGAGAGCTGTGATACGTAAGTGGTGGGACTGAGAAGTTGAGAGGAATTTGACTGACTGAGTCTGTCATCCTTGTGAAATTTGTGCTGGAACACTGATGTCTCAAAGGATTTGGCTTTAGTGGCTTCTACTGCACTGTGTTCCCATGCTTGCTGCTGCAAGTATAAGTGCACGTATTTAGTATTTGTGAGTACTCCAGTTAAACAGAAGGAAACTTTCCCTACTAAGCGGGTATCTTCTGCAGCACCACCTCTAGGGTTTAAAGCATATAATGACCTCATCTGACCTCACTTGCAGATGAAAATACTTGGCACCTGAGGCAGTTGAACTATAAGGTGGACAACAGAAGAGAAACAAAAAGTATTTTCTCATTAAACTCTTAAGTTTCTTGTAGACCATAGGAAAATATAACACTGATAAATGCCTACATTTTTGATTTAGAAGGTTTAAATGAAAGTCCTGGAGTCAAATCACTATTCAACTTCTGGTTCTCCTTAGTCTAATTTCTCAGTTATACTTACCTTTTTTTGTTCTCAAGGGTTCAAGAAAAAGGATTCACAGAAAAGTTACAGTCTAAAAAACCTCTGAAAATTATTATATAGATATATAGCAATAATGAACATGGAAAATGAACTTCCAGAGTTTTTTGACCTTGTTTTGTTCCTTCAGAAATGTTAAAGCTCTTTATTTGAAGCAAGAAAATAGCCCAAGTAGTTGGATCAAATGACTCCTTTGAAGGAAGTAATGAATTTATGTCTGGAACCTTGAGAAAAATTAAAACAAATAGTTACATCCATTTAATAGGAATTATTCAAATAGCTTTCCTTCACATAAATTTATGTGCCTAAAAGCTAATTTTCTTTTGAACTTGTACCTGTTGACCTTCATGTCAAATTCCATACTCAGAATACTGGGAAAAAAGGGTTTGTATATTTAGGCATAATTCACAAAAACTTCTGTAACACAAAGCAATCCCTCCTAAAAGAAAATTAAAGACAATAGCTTGGATGTGCAGTTTTTAAATAGGCAAGACTTATAGTTATTCTTTTAAAATGTTTGGCTTAAAATAAATTTTAAAATTGTTCTTTATATGATGGAAAAATTTAAACATTCCTCTTTTGTCTTTTTCATCTCAAAGGTTACTTAACTTTTATTTTTCTTGATTGTCAGAAGTATTAAGTCACATTTTATATAATAGTTTTCTGTTGTTCTTAACATGAATTTTATTGCTGGAATGTATCTTCTTTGTTATAAAGCTTCCCTGAGGACAGCAGTAGCAGAAGGAGGAAGACAATTTACAAATGTTTTCCTCTTTTCTCAAAAATAAGCTATATTTTAGAGCATTCTCCTTTTTTCTTTTATTCATCTGGTTCCATTTTCTATTATTTGTTTGTCTGGAGAAACAAAATAAAGTATGGGAGGGTTGTTGGTGTTCTGTCTTTTTTACAAAAGAAAGAGCAAAAAAAACAAAAACAGAGTAATATAAGGGCCAGAGAAATTGAAATAGCATATCCAGAAGTATCAGATCTTGATTTCCTTCCTATTAGGAGAGAGCCTCTGGAGGTTTCTGATCCAACATGTCATTCAAAGTGGGCTCAACTAGAGCCAGTTGCGCAGCTCCTTGTCCACTTGGGCTTTAAATATGTCATCCAAAGATGATAACTGTGAATTCTTAGTAAGGACTTTAAGACTGGCTGGGTACATAAGTATATTTTTAAATATATATGTGTGTATGCATATGTATATATACTTGTCGACATATGCATATGTGTATATATGCATAAATTATACCTCAAATCAAAATTATCTAAAAATTTACATGTAAATCCTATGTATATCATATGTGAACATTATTTTATTGTAATAACTACTGATATTGAACTTCAGTATTTTTTGTGGTATATTTCACAACTGATTTTTTTTATGCTTTCAGGTATTACTTATTTAAGAAGAGCTTGTTGGTAGATAACTACAAATCCACTATTATCATAGTTGCTTGCTTCCTTTAATGATAAAAATAGCTTATGTTGTGATTAGTAATGTCCCGAGTTTTATCTCTGGTGTATTTTACATCAGTCACATCCCAAATACTAAGTTTGCTTAGGCTGTGTGTATCATTAAAACCAATTTCACTCATACTGTGTACTCTTTACTTCTAGTCTTCATTTTCATCTAGGCACTTCTTTTTCTTACAGTGATTTGTAATACTTCCTGATGGTTATTCCAATGTTCCCTGTGTCAAAATCTATCAGCTTTAGATGGAATACCCTTAAATTTTAGAAAATTTTATAATCAAATTTCTTACCTTTGAATTTCTGTTGGTTTTCCCACCCTCTTGCTCCCTCTTTATCAGTTGTAGAGTTTCTGGGTAGATAGGACTTA